CTGTGCTGCGTCCCCATCGGTCCTGCGCTGGCAGCCCAGCTGTCCTGGAGAGTTCCGTGACTTAGGGACAAGAACGGGACAGGGGATGACACAGGACCCACAGGGATGGGCAGGGGCCAGGAGTGCCTCTGGGGCACCACCCCAAGTAACCACTTCACTACCCCGTGCCTCAGTTTCCCCACTGCCAGCTGCTGCGCATGCAGGCTGGGGGTTAGAGCACCGCAGCAAGCCAGACCCGATCTGTCCACGCCCCCCCAGCAGTCCTGATCAGAGGGGGGGATAACCCAGGACTTCCGCGGCAAGGTCCCCCTGGGGTGCCATGGCACCAGGACCCCAGACCCCGGTGGCCTGTCTTCTTTCAAGACTGTTAGCACAGACGGAGCAGGGCACTGGGGAGAGGAGGGTGCCTGGGGGACCTCGCCATCGCTGGCTAGGGGGGACAGAGAGCCAGGGAGGGCTGGAGATGTGCCGTGCCGAAGGATGCTGGCACTGCTGAGGTCCCGCTTCCCCGCCGGCAGACAGGACCTGGCACAAGCCTTGCACGTGCCCCAGCACCGGCTGCATCCTCCCGGCCGCTGCTTCAGCGCTGCTGACAGCAGAAGGACGATGGCAAAGCCTCCCTGGCCCCCGTCTTCAGTAGGGTTAGGGGATGAGCAGCGTTAGGATCCGCTGCCTGGCTCCAACCCCCCTGGAGCCTCAGCCAGGCATAAATATTTCAGGGGGCTTGGCAGTTTTGTAATAACTGGCAACAAAGATAAACACCAGGAAGAACAATATTTTTCCATGTGGGCTGGAGGAGTTTAATATTTTATCACTCAGAGCACAAAATATTTATGAACAATCTCATGTCAATCACTGGCTGAGCACTGATCATGACCTTTCCAAGCCAGGGAGGACACATCCCCAGCATGGAGGGACAGCCAGTTTTGGGCTGCCACATCCAACTGCTAGGGAACAAGCCCTGGGCTGCCAGAGGCACCAGGGGCACTGGGGCAGGGCTGAGCTGTGCCAGCCGGGTGAGGTGCTCCAGCACCCGGCACTGCCCCAGGGCACCATGGCAGTGATGTCCATCCAGGCTGCTCCACAGCTGGGGGACAGGGAATTGGGACCAGCATGGGCAGCCCTCCCTGCCTGCCGGACCAGGCAGATGGGATGCTGGGGAGGCACTGCACAGGCAGGCTGGGCCCCCCCTGCCACAGGAGGAGCACAGCAGTGCCAGGCCCACCAGCAGCCCAGGGACCTGGCTTTACTTACTGGTTTTACTTTCAGCAGGTTCCCAAGAGGAGTGGGGATGCCACCTCCCTCCAGCCCAGCCCAGCCGGTGGCTGGGACCCTTCCCCATTACCCCTGCAGCTTGCAGAATCCAGCGTGGCATGGTCCTGTGGCCCCGCTGGGTTGCCCGGGCAGGGAGCAAGTACAAGCAGCAGGGATGTAGGGTCCTCGGACACTCCTTGGCTCGGTCAGGGGGCATGGGACAGCCACCCCGCCACCCGCCACCCGCAGCCCACTCCCCGCCACGGGCAGGACGGCGCGAGCGGCCAAGAGGCAGTGAGCAATGCCACCGGCCACCAGTGAGGAAAAGCATCCACTTTATTACAGACCCCAAAAGTGCCCACGGCAGTGCCAGGATGAGGTTTACATGGGATGTTTCCATTTTTCAGCAAGGGGAAGAGAAGAGGGGAACAAACCCAACTGACCCTACTCATGGCTCTTTGGTGCTAGAAAACACGCAGCGGTGCAGCAGAGAGAAGCTGTGGGTGAGAGGGGTGCCGGCAGAGACGAGGGGGGGACACCTCTGCCATCCACCACCACCCCCCCAAGACACCTGCGAGGAATTTGCGACGCATCTAGAGACAAAAACGGCAAATGCATTTCACTGCCCCCCCCAGCCTGCACCTACCCCGTGCCGCTGTGCGCTGCAGGAGACCCCCCTGCCTCCCGGTGTCCCCGAAACCGTCAAACACCCTTTCTGCAAAGAGGGAGAGCGGGTTCTGGGGGGAATCAGCGACCGAAATCTCTTGGCTGGAGAGGAAGGAGGTGGGAAAGGCAACCAGTTCCCAGTAACTCAGACCCCGGTGGGAGGCGAGGCAGCCAGGTCTTCATGTCACTCTTCTCCTCTCTCGGCAGCAATGGGCTCCTTGGTCCACTTGTCTGTGACCTCCTGGTTGCCCGTGTAGCCCATGTCGGGCAGCAGGCCTGAGGCTCCCTCCCCATCCCCAGTGACCTCCAGGTCCAGCTCCTCGAAGGAGGAGCCGCTGGCTCCTTACTCGCTGTAGCTGTGCTCACTGCGGTTGTCCACCTCCTCCCGGCCACGGCTGGCTGGGAAGGGCAGCAGGATGGAGGTGGCCACTGAGGTGTCTCTGCTGTCGGTTGTGGCCTCTATGCTGATGGAGCTCGTCTCACTCATGGTGTCGGCCCCTGGGATGGAGAGAGAAGGGGAGGGAGTGAATGCTGTGGGAAAGAGGTGGGGATGGGGATGGGGTGCCACAGCCTTTGAAACCACCAGAAACCTCAGAGACGTCAGACCACAGTGGAGACCAGCTCCTACCTCTTGTCACCTCCTGTGCCTTTGAGAAGTGACCGGGCCAAGACAAGCGTGAGCCGGACTCAAGCAGCTCCCTGAAGTAAGGGCACCCCCAAGTTGGCTGGCACAAACACCCCCCGGCTTCCCAGCCGTGCCTTGACCTCCTGGCTGTGCCCCGGCCCCACTGCTGCTCTCTGGGCACACACCGAGGACCCGGCAAGCCCCTCCTTAGGGAGAATGCCCGGCCTGGGAGCTGGGTGACAATCCTGCCCCCAGCACAGCACCAGGAACGAGGCGAGGAGCGGGACACTGTGCTGCGAGGGTGATGGGGAGCTGCAGCATTGCTGGAGCACCCAAGGGGAAGGTGGCACATGGGCAGGTCCTCGGATGTGCCGCCGTCAGAGGCAGGTGTACATCCAGCCTCATGCCAGGGCACCCTAACGCTGCCTT